AGTAGAATTGAATGCAGATGCAGTGGAAGAAGGTATGGATACTCATGAGACCGTCAAAGTAAATGATCATCATTAAGCCCACCTATTATCAGATGCTAATGCTAAAGTGGAGCTAATAATAGAAGACAGCAGCTGTGGCTATCTTACAGTTAGACAACTTACTAAAGGCCGAACAACAACGGCTTCTGGTGCACTGCTAGGTTCATCAACTTGTGTCACTCAGTCGTTTTCGGTGTTGTCATCCACAATGAAAGGGATATCCGTGAACTCACGTGTCTTATTCTATGCCTATGTTATTAACGGTCCGCTTGAAAGGACGCAAGTCAATGGGCAGTTTAGTGAGGATAAGCCGGCTGTGTATGAGAGTGTAATTGTTAAACTGACTTGCACGAATAAGGGCCTTTCAAGTTTCAAATTACTATTTGAATGTTATTATCTTTGGTGTAAATTACTCTGTGCCCACGCTTGGTTGATCAGATACGTCGTATGTTCGTTAGTCATCTATATTCTACGATACAATGTCATGGGCGTGTCACCGTTCAGATTTGAGGATATAGCTGATAGAGGAAGTCATCAAATGAACTCTGCAACGATTTTCCAACCTAGGGCGTCAACCTGAGAAGGCTTGTAGGCGTACTGCTGTAAGTCCTACAATTCTTCCATGATAGTACGTCGAAGCGCAGTCCATCGTACTTGGTGTGTTATTTTGTACATAAGTTCATGTTGTATATACTGAATTGGTTTCATCTTTCATCTGTCTGTTGGTAATTTTGTTTGTGTCTTGACATCTTCCACTTGTATCATCAACCTAAGAAGGCATGTAGGCGTACTGCTGTAAGTCCTACAGTTCTTCAAGGGTAGTTCGTCAAGTCAGAATCCACAACATTTGATGTATTGATTGTACATATGTTTGTGTTAAATATTTGAGTGGGTTCCAATTAATGTAATTGTTGTAATATAACTGTGTCCGGACATTCTTCAACTTACAATCGTCAACCTGAGAAGGGTTGCAGGCGTACTGGTGTAAGTCCTGCGATTCTTCAAAGGAATTCCATCGAGACATGACCTGCGAGTTTGTGTGTACTGTTTGTATATATGTGTGGTGTGTCATATCAATTGGTGTTTTTTGGATTCATTGTGTTTACTTGTTGTTTTCGTACCTTGTTGTTATTGCATAATTTTGTTAAAATTTTCGTCGTGATTACTTCTGAAGTTGTTTCCAGTCTTCTACATCCATGAATGAATTGATTGATGTTAAAGACAGCAGATGGGTCGTATACGCCGGGGAGGCTAAGCTAGTGCTGAGAATGACATGCACACGGAGATAATTGTTAGCTGTGGTCCCACACGCCGGGGAGTGAGAGTGTAGACGACTGAGGCTTGCATACGTCACCGTTACTAGAACTGAGGCAGAATGAGTGACAAGCGATTGCAGTGGTAATTGGTAGTGAGTAGATAAGAGGATGTGCGTGGAGTATCATGAGGTGGTGCTATGGTCACGTTGCGTTCTGCAAGAGTCATTCTAGCAAGTGGAGATTGTGTTGCAATATGTCAAGAGGATGTCTTTAACTGGAAGGCGTAGGTCGTCACCGACGTGTGTGATTGTGCTGTGGGTATGCTTGTGGTGTGTTGGCTTTTCTGTTTGTTTTCCATTTCAGCTTGTCCGTGTGACCCAGGTTCTCGCACTGGCGTCCAATTCAACGTGGATTGGTGGCGATGGAAAAAAGGGATGGATCCCATTTTTGACGGGGAGTGTCAATGTAGTTAAAGATTGAACGATCAGTTCATGTTTGTTTGCTCAAACCCAACTTCTCCATATTTTTCGCCGGTCGTCAATCCGGCAGTCATCGTCTCATCGTTCGCTATTCGTTGGAAGAGAGAAAACTATCAGAAGCATTATTGGGATTTGTTATAACATTTATCCTAGACTTTGTGTACATTACTAATGTTTTTCCCTGTATTGGTGTAAGAATAAACGATTCTTGAGTCACCAATTTACCTTCTGGTTTTTCGTGTTTGTTATTACATATTGTTTCTGAAAGTGTCCCAAGGACAGAGTGAGGTCCAGTGTAGCAAGACCTGGAAATTGACAACGGATGATAATAAATGTGGCTGGCATCCTGAAAACGTACATATAACTTATATCGTTGGGCTTTTTCTCCCTTAAATGCCCGATTCTCACAGAATAACTGCTATGACATCTACCATTGCCATTAGTTTATAACGTTAAGATCTAAAGCAACTCGCAAATAACAAAGCTTTAAGGCTCCAAAATGCAAATAATAATCTTTCTATGGGAAATTTCTTATGAATGACGACTTTTTTAGTAATAAATCGACTAGGATATCATGACCACTTTACCCAATAATATGAACACAATAGGCCAAAGAAGCCTAAAACTAGTCAAATGTAATCTACTTCACAAAAGTGAACTATTATAACGCCAACATGAACGCGATAGCCCATGCAGTGCGCGAAAATATATCACGATAGCGTTTATCCTCACCCGAATGTAGGACAACCTCATATTTGAAAGTTTCTACCATGTTTATCTGATATGTTTTTGAAAATAAAACAACAATCTTGCAATTCTTCAGCAGTTTGTTGTCAATATAATCTATTTCGGACAATCTGATTTTGTTTTGGATTCGGTCAAAGACCGCGAGTCCGCTTCTTCCGAGCACTACTCGTGTAGTAGCTCTGGAGACAGCAGTCTTCATTACTGTATATCATGCGTGTGTTTCTAGCAAGCATTATGACTCTTCTCCTCCAAAACGCAGTGTATAAACATGAAAAGGTAAAAGAATTGGGACAGTGACTACTTAGTCCTTTGCTTGGGTATCCACGACCAGTCAGAAAGTGTTCTTATGTTGGAGCCTGTCTTCATAGCCAGGAATTTGGACAGTAATAATACACTCTAAGAATCTTCGGTAGAGCTCGCTGTCATCCTTGTTGTGAGTGATTTGCTTTGAAGTGCCTGAACACCCCTGTGGGCCTACACAAATACAATGATTGGATGTTAAGCCCTACTTTGCTGCACAAACTTCACCTCTGCTTCTGATCAAAAGGTGCCCAGTGTTCTAGTAGACTGCTGCTGCGCTCCAGCATGCCAGACATGGTGAAACATTTTGGGTGACTAGCCTCGGACTTACGTTCAGTCTTTGGTGGACAGTCTTCCTTCTTAAAGTCAGTTCTTGTAACCTGCTTCACGGTGTTACCATTCTATGGCTTGCCTCGAAGACCACGTTTACAACTGGATGTGGATGGATTTTTCTCAGTTTTAGAATTTCCTGCTGCTCGCAGGACTTTGTTGGTGGTGTTTTCACGCCTATAAAGTATATCAAGCGATGCTTCGTGTGTCTTCGGTTTTAGTGGGTTTATGCTCACATTTGGATGAACTGGAGTATCTTGTGAAAGATTCTCGACTGCCTTTTTAGAGATGTTTTTGTATTTCCGTGAAACAGTGAGTGAAACTTGGGTTAGGGCTATGAAGTGAGCATATGTACCAGAATCATGGGCATAGGTGCTTTCCCATAAGCTCATAATATGGTTTCGGCACTCCCATTTCTTGAAAAGAATGCATTCGAAGGACCTATTGGTTTGGCAAAAGACAGGACTGTAGACCCGGTAGTCATCACCCCCAGAAAACGTCTCGACGAACTTGATTTTTAGACGTCTCTATCGTTTCCCCTCGGCCTTGTGAATTGGGTCACGTTCCATTCCTCTAGAGAGAGGCATTGTGCTGTGCTCACGTAGTTCAGACTGTTTACTTTCAGATCGGTGTGCGAGGACGTGGTAAAAGTAATAGGACAGAATATGTGTTGAGTCCTTTAGAAGAGGTACGAGAGGCGACAGTAATTCTACCGGCTATATACCTTCGTCGGCTGAGGCCTTGGCAATCGCAGAATATGGTTTAGTAACGCGATTCATATGATGAAAGTAGACTTTCTTATTATCACCCTCTGACAAGTATAGTTAAGCGATGGTGAAGGTGGTAGAATTCGAATGTTTGCCCAATGGAATAAGAGCAGATTGACTGACAAAGTGAGTTTAAGGTTTTATACCTCTCCTTAAATCTTAATATTATTTGGCTTCACAGCAATCGTGTAGCAGACAGATAAGTCTGATTTATTTGGTCAAGTTAGGAAGATGCTACCACAAAATAGCACTTGAAGCTCTGGCAGTGCTTCGGGGCAGCATGGGATTTATCTCGATTTATGACTTAAAAATGATGTCCCACTTTATTCGGTGGCAGCTCGTCGTAATCTAATACTTTACACCATCTACAAAGTCTAACTGTTTCAAGAATGATAATTTCTCCTCTCACAGGGCATTTGAAACAAAAGCTTTCGACAGGTATTCACCCCTTGTCTCGAAAGTAACTTTAAGTATTCCAAAAAATGGATACTTTCATGAATCACGTGGTGGATAGTATAACATGTTTCAGAACTGCTTCAGCTGTAATTTTATCTTTACTATACTACAGCCAGCATCAGTTCAAACTGAGATGCCTTGAAGTTCAGGGAATGGCCACGAAATTAGTCTGTCTTCTTTTTTTCAGAGCAACAGGTTGAAACAACTTTGTTTTGAAATCAAGTAATTCACCTTGAAATTGATGACTGGAAAATGAATTATCACTCTCCTCAGTCAAACTATTTTAGTGGAAATAAGGAGGTGGCTCCTGGTGATAGGAATTTGTTTGGGCTCCGGCCCTTCTGCCACTGCAGAAAATCTTAAGAGTGAAGCTCAGAAATTTTTTGGAATATGAGAATATAAATCAATGAAGTTTCCCAGTAGGTTTTTCACTTCCAATAAAAATTCAGCAAAATGAAAGCTTTTCACTGTGCTCTTTTTGCTTTAGTTTTCATATTGTTGCATCCAACTCCTCTTGCATTTGACCAAGGATAGGTGAAACTTGATTTGTGCAAATGACCTAAACGTCTTTGAACTCTCAACCCGCACAGTTCAAATTGTGTTTTCATATCTCAGAAACTAGTCACATGAATGCGTGAGTTATTGATTTTGAATCTATCTTTTTACGAAGAATTCAATATATTCATGTTTTTGAGGACAAAATCATATATGTATATATCTATACAATCCTTCATATGATGTCAAGGTGGTTATTATAAAATCCTATTTTGTAAAGAGTACATGCTATACTTTAGTTAACAGCTCATACAACTCAGAAAGCACTGTGTAATTTTTAGAAATAAATGAAAAACACTACAGATACCACAGGACACGCAATGTATTTGTCGACTCCATTTAAGTTCTTCGTTAACATGAGGAAAGAAAGGTGAATAAGGAATACACTTCATTTAGGAAGTAAGAGAAATGAGTAACAGTGATACATTTCTTGTTTATAACGTGTGACGAGTAGGATAATATAGGTAATTTTCGGAATAGATGGGCATTTAACTCATTCAGAACTCAAAAGAAAGGAAGTAACAAGAGCAGCAATGTAAAAAATTGGGAAAACGTGAAAAAATATCGGAAGAATAAACTTTTAACTCTGTGTTTTAGTATCATTTATGAGTAATTGTTCAATTCCCCTCGTTTTTTTAACCCGATTTCGCTATGTGCATTTTCCAGCTGGTGAGATATCCAGACTTTATTCACTAAAACTTCTGATGTATTTCCAGCACACTGAAAGTCTAGGGAGTACCAGTTAAGCGAGTGGCTCGTTTCAGCATTTTTACAACTGCGATATTTACAATTATAGCATATTAAGAGAACAAACTGTTTGTTCTCGAATTTTTAGTTGGTCCTTTCACTTTGACTTGATAAATCAGCTTCTAACTGCTACAGATTAAACTGTTTCTGAGTGGCCAAACATAATTTATATTTTTGCACCCAAAAAGTATCCATAATCGTAGTTAAGATAGAATGATAAGTTTGAGAATAGTTTAGCATGGTCAGAGGAATAATATAATAGACTGCAAACTTTCTATAGGGAAAGTAAGTAGTGAAGTAATTCGGGTGCTTCAAGATAAATTTATCTGTGTTATCACATTGTGTGCTTCTTTGTGTGCTCAATCTTTGGCTTTTGATGTCGTAAATATCAAGCTTTTTTTTAAATACATCATTTGGCTATATATTTGGTTTCAGTCTTTATTTACTAAAAAGTACGTTAGAATACCGGTTCTTGTTAAATGACTTTTAAGGTCTAATAAGAAAGACAAGAGAAACAATCACCTTTAAGAGTGTTAAATGACGATTAACACCTAAGAGTGGATATTTATTTTAGTTATCGTTAATATGCTAATGTCTACCGTTCACATGCACAACTGTTTGATTAACTGTTCTACTTTCTAATACCTTCGTTGTTTAATTTAATAACAATCTTGTTTATTACGTCTATTTATGATGAAAAGTGCATAAAGTTAAATGGGCTTTGTTTATTAGCAGATTTCACGTTTGTGGTAATCTGCTACACACAAAACATTAATTTTGAATCGTCATAATGCTTTTAGAACTAATTGTAAATCTTCAAGGACCCTTGTGGTGGTGTGATACAGGTAATGTGTTCCAACGGAATATTATTCTCACAGATTTCCACAGTTCAATACTGCATTAGCAACAGAATGCTATATGTATATTTGAACATTCTATTTCATGTCGTTTAATGAAAAACCAAAATCACACGCAAAGTGATTGGTTATAGAATATAAACTGTATACATGTAAATAGCTGTTTGATCGCTTGAAAATTTACCTTCGCCTCCGTATCTTGCCTTCTGCTGTTACACTATAATCTATTTCAGTAATTCAAGTAGTAGGGTCACATCATCTGTAGACATAACGGCGAAAAGCGTTTCATTTAGAGTGTAGCACCCATTTAAATACAGCAGTCTATAGTGATGATTTGATAGTGTTGTAAGAATTTGTGATATTTCAGTATGACTTATTGTAACCATTTCTTCTTATGAAAGACTTCCATTTACTTTGCCTTTCTGATTTTATTATAAGAAGGCTTATGCATTTTAGTCATTTTTCAGGCTAAAGAATACAAATATCATCATTGACAAAGTTATGTGAAATTTAAAACTCAAATATATCAAATGTGTTGTTCCTTCAGCTGTGAATATTGCTCGTTTAACCTATGTGGAATAGAGAAAAAGATAAGTGATGTGAAATACTGAGGAACAGGCGTAGCGTCTTAGGTAAGGATGGTAATTCAACAAATGCGATTGTGAAGGTGCATCGATTGACATGAATGGGACACATATTGTATGTGCTAAAACACTGCATTCCTCGACTGTCAGTGTTAGCCAACGTAGATCTTCGGGATGAAAAAGAGTTAATGGTGGCCAAACCGAAACTGAAATCAATCCATGAAGTCGTTGACAATTGGTTTAAGACAGCTATTTAGAGAGGTGTTTTGATCGCCTAATTGAGGTCCTTGGGATGTTATGAACCAATGGTGGGAGACTGTTAGTATTATGGCTCAGTATCGTTCTCAGTGACTCAGATATTTTCCCCCTGTGTAATCTCGCATATCCACTAAACCTTCATGTTTCTCTGTGTCATTATTCTTTTTCTTCTTTCTTTCTTCACGTTATAGTTCTTCTGAATCTACTTTTCTTCCTCTTTTCCCTAAAATTGTGTGGTACATAGAGTGTGACGAGTTGAATAACTTCACTTCTGTATGCAAAGTTCTATGCCGTAACTATGGAAGATAGAATTTTATGGGCTGGCCATTGGATCGGGTCACAGTGGCTTAGTGGTCTACGACCTTGCTAGCCTTGTAGCGAGAAGTTCGTAGGTTCGAACCCTGGTGGTGTGTGTGTAGCAATGAATAGTCCCAAACTAGGCTGGAAGAAAAGCTGTTCAGTACGCTCAACTGGTTTTCCAATGGTTTTCTAACTGATTTTATTTTGATTATAGCTTGATTCCACACCGTATTTTTGATACAAGTATGAAATTTTCAGCATGTGATATTATTATTTATTATTATTGTATCTTTTAATTCCTAGAGGAACATAGGGCTTCAGTTGCACGTCTCCATTGCCTGCGCTTTTCTGCCACCTTTTTCACCACACTCCAAGTCTGCCCACACGCTTTCATCTCCTCTTCACATGACCTCCTCCAAGTCACCCTTGGACAACCAACTAGCCGCTTCCCTTTCGGTTCCACTCGAGCAATGGCTTGCCTGATGATGTCACTTGATGGTTTCCTCAGCGTATGGCCAATCCATTTTCATTTCTTCCTGCCTATTTGTTTCACAATTGGTTCCTGGTTGGTTCGCTAGCAGAGATCCCTGTTGCTGATCTTTTCTGGCCATCTGGTCTTGAGTATTGAGTGAAGACAACTGTTAATGAAGGTCTGAAGTTTGTTTGAGATGCTCTTTATGACTCACTGGCCAAGTCTCTGATCCGTATAGTGAGTAGCACTGACCGACTTCACATTGCAGTTGAAAATCCGGATCTTATTTTTGATTCTGAGTGCTGTTGACCTCCACAGGGACTTAAGAGTAATAAAAGCTTGCCCTGCTATCCCGATCCTTGCTTTGATATCTCGTCAGCTCCGTCTGCCTGTAGTTGAAACAATGCTTCCCAGGCCGAAATTTTGCAGGCCGACCATAGATATCAGGTGTGCGTCGGTAGGGAATCGAACCCCAGACCATGTTCATGGTCGGCGAGAGTCCTAACCGCTGTGCCCATGATGAAACCTTCTGACCAATTATTCTATAAGGTTATCACAATAGTTCTAAAGTGTTTTATTGAGTCTAAAATAGCTATTTTGAAGAGTAAATTCATGGTGTTTCGCCTCACATGCACGTTATCCTGGATTCCATGGCTAGTCACTGTTCATCGATTGACTTTAAATTCTAACAGTTAGTTGGTGTGATGATGAGTGCTATTTTTGCTAGAAATATTACCAAGACAAAAAAAGCTTATTATTGTGTGTAAACTATTGTAATGTACTGATAATTAATTTTGTCTATTCCACAATACACAAACGTTTTACTGATACTAGCAATTTATTATTATTGTTATTTTTATATTTCAGATATCTGCTTTGCATTGGATTTATTTTTGCCTCCTCTTATCTTGGATTCTATGAATGTTGTAAACCCAATGCAGATGGACAGTTTACACAATTAGAACTAGGCAGTGCATCGAATGTGACTGCTGTAGTGGGCAGTGATGTCTACTTTATTTGTTGTGGTGGTGTGAAATGGACTTATGAAGCAGAAGATGATTATACCAGCCGTGAGATTGGACCACATCCATATGCACAGATTGGTTCAGGTAAACGACCACCAACGGAGAAAGGTCTGCTTTCAAATTCGTTGGGGAGTAATAATATTGTCAGTGGAATAAGTGGAAGTACAACGAAGGATCCAGTGAATTCACAGAGTACAATACAAACCACAGTGTATACAATGCATGATGATAAGGGTCGGTTAATATTACGTATTGATAATGTGGATATGCAAGATATGGGACATTATAAATGTCATGGTCTACTGTCAAGTTTAGATGTTTATTTGGTAGTGACAAATAAGAATTATCCTGAAGAACCGCATAATAAAACTCTGCCGCATAGTGGAAGTATGCTACCGCATTATATGATGTTTTCATCTGACCAATTGAATAATGTAAGTGATTTTTATTGTTGTTGTTGTAAGTGTCCTCCACTGTTTCATTAACTCTAGCTGGTGTTCCTCAAGGGGCTGTTCTTTCCTTCTTTTTTCTGTTTTCTTTCCGCTTACATTATTTGCCTCATTCTGGAGAAGCCGATTTTGTTAAGTATGCCGGTGATCTGACTGTTTCTATGCCATCGGTTACTTCTCAGTCAGACTCTTTCAAAATGAATAACTTTTTATTAGAAATTAGTCAGTGGTCGTCGTCAAATGGTCTGATCACCTTTCCTGATCTTTCCACATCATGTTAGTTTCCAGAAAGATATTTCGTTTAACGTCCTATTCAAGGAACGTTAAGACAGTCCGGTTTCACATAGTCTCTACGTTTACAGTGCCTTAAATCTTGTATTGTATCTATCTCTTTTTGTTGCTCCACCTCTTTCCTGGGCTACTTAAGAAAGACTTTGTTATACTGAGAAGGCTGCTATAAGCTATCAGTAGGGTGAATAGGGTGTTGATGAACCAATTCGGTAATGCTGTTGTGGACAGTGTGCTCTCGGAGGTGTGTAGGTGGTTGATACTTCCCGGCGGCCCACACCGTGAAAGTTGATTGATTCTTCGGATACCTGAAACAGAAAGAGGGTTAGTGTTGCGTGACCGCAGGGCCCATGGGGAAAACTGCTTGAGGCCACCGGTCACACACGGCCTGTATGAACTGGTTTCTTGGATTGGTTCCGTATTAGTAAACTTACCACTGGTTACATATCAATGTGAGGTAGGTCAGGATTTACAATTGTTGGGGTTGACCTTTTCTAACCTTTTCTCTCCCGAGTGAAGAGACAGCATAACCGGTATGTTGGTCATCCGAGGGAAACATCTCACTGCTGTTAAGCCCCTGTTCCCCAGCAATACGCCTTCGCCCACAGATTCCAAGCATAGTGTGAAAAAACATTCCTAATCTATGCCGGTAACTGCTTTTAGTCTAATCGCTATCCTAACAACCTTCCTGGCATGGTAGGACCTGTAGGAACAATAGTTCCAGCCAGTGTAGCTTGTTGGGTCATCGCGATGTGCAAGCTTGACGACTACCACGTCAAGGTAGCAGCTATCGGTCGGGATATATGTACATATATATATTGATGTAGTAGGTTGTAGACAGTAGACACATGAATTCCTGGAAGAAATTAGCAAATATTATCTCGTCAGACTCTTAACATCCTCTCCCTTATACAGCTCTCTCCTTACATCTCATCAGGTAGGCTGGAACTAGAAGGAACTATAGATCACTATGTGCTCGGATGACTAAGTACAAAAACTCTACATTACCTTAATTAGAAGGCACACATTTTGTGTAATGAGGAAAGTGTAAGGCATGACACTCCTAACTTACTGAGAAACACTAAGTCAATGGTCCACTTTATTCCTTCTTTCATTGACCCATTGTTGTTATTAATTTCACTTAAATTCTAATTTTATATTCATATACTTATTGAAAAGTATTAACAGTGTAGATGCTCTATTTTAATTATTACCTCAATAATGAGAAAGTTTGATACGATACCGTACTGTATGCTGAAAATTCCTCATTTGTACCAGAAGTACTGTTTGGTTTAGGAGTTGGCGTGTAGGGGTTAGATTTGTTTATCTAGTTAGACCACGGATTGATATCATTTAGAGAGGCATTGAAAATCACCACTGGAGTACTGGGCAGCTGTTTCATCCTAGTTTGCGAATCATCAACAGTAAGTACCCACTTCCGGGGTTCGAACCCAGGACTTTCCGGCTAAATATACAGAGGTATCACAAGCCAGTGTCATCTGCGAGGATTAGGCCTCACAAGCGGCTTTGTTAACCTCACTGATTAAAAAATAATCACTGGAACTCTAGTCGCATTCATCTTGTAATCAGTTGCCATTAGCGAGCATTAGATAAATTTTTGTATGTGTTTGAATTCATGAGCCACTGGAATCCATCCAAGTGACTAAATGGTCAATGGGATCGTCTCGAAACTTGAAGGGCCTAGGTTTGAATCCCAGTGTTATAATTATTATTGTTTCTTTTAGTTCCTAGAGGAACATAGGGCTTCAGCCGCCCACTTCTCCATTGCATTCGGTTCGCCACCAACGTTTTCACCTGGTTCCACGTTTGCCCACATGCTTTCATCTCCTATTCAAATGACCTCCTTCATATCACCCCCTCACTGACGACCAACTTACCGCTTCCCATTCGGTTTCCACTAGAGTGTTGTGTGATGTAACTTGATGGTTTGTTTTCTGAGATTATGGCCAATCCACCTCCATTTCTTCCTGCATATTTGTTTTACAATCGGTTCCTGCTGGGTTGGTTCACTCATTGTCAAAGATGACTACTGCTGATCGTCTTTTCTGGCTGGCCATCTGATCTCGAGTAGTACTGAGCAAAGAGAGCTATTGATGAAAGTCTGTAGTTTTTCTGAAGTGGTCTTCGTGACACACCAAGCCTCTGATCCATATAGTAGCACTGACTTCACATTGGAGTTGAAAATCCGCATCTTATTCACCATGCTGAGTAGTGCTGTTGGCCTCTACACAGACTTGAGAGAAATGAAAGCTTGCGTTGCTTTCCCAATATCCGCTTTGATATCCTCGTCAGCTCCGTTCGCCTGTAGTTGAGACGTTAATTCCAGGGTGGGTAGGTGAAGGAGATTGTGTCTTTCAGGTTCCTCCCATTTATACTGGTTGTTGTCTGTTGTTGTTGCTGTTGCTGCTGGGCAGCGATCTTCATCATCACCTCTGTTTCCTCTATTTTCACCTGAAGTCCTATCTTTGATGCCTCTTCTGCCAACTTGTTGATTTTCACTTGCATATCTTGAATTCCAGTGGATAGTGTCATTTGTAGTATCGATCAGGGATGCCCATTTCCGTCTAATTTCATCACAGATTTACTAACAGAATTGATCCTAAGCGGCTTTAGCGATTAAGCGATTGATTTGTTACCAGTGCAGAGTTTTACCAACTTCTAGTATGCAGGTGATATAGTCCTCCTACGTTAAAACATGTACGTCAGTGGTACAGCAGTAGAATGCTTGCCAACCACGCGCATGTGGCTCGGGGTTCGATCCCCAGCTACAGACTCACTCCTTTACCTCTCTAAGACTGGTAAAGAGGGAAGGTTGGTGTGCATAAGGCTAGCAACCCTATCCTGTAAACATAATCTCAACTGCTACAGAAACTTCAAGCCTCTAGCTTGAAGCCCTCGCTGTGTTCCACTGAGAACGTGAAGGAATAAAAAAGGGTGCAAACATTGATAAAATGCAGAGTCTTCTAATCACATTGAGGAGAAATCTTACAATTTTCGGCGTACGATTCGCTAGCGTCAAATGAAAGATTATGCTGCAGGACCTTTAACGCTAAGCTGACTATAACACTGAACCTAACTCTAATCAAATCCTGATCCTGACTTATAGTTAATCCTAAAAAAAAACTAGCTTTAAGTGGGTAAAGATCAGGATGAAATTATCAGTGTAGCTGGTGAATGAAATAGATGTTAAAAAGAGGAACGGTCACATTGACTATTCAAGGTCGTTCGTCTAAGTCACCAGTCTCCATAGTCACCATTAACTAGTAAAGCTATAAGAATGGATGGTGACTAGCAGTGGATTTCAGGATAATGCGCATTTCGTCCTATTTGGGACTCGTCAGCCACTGGGTGTACCTGCATTTCCCAGTGGAGGATGATTTTCCCATAGAGGCTCAAACCCAGTGCTCATAGTTTCTAACGCCAAAGCGCGTTATCCACTAGACCACTAGGACCACAAGAGCCACCACCTCTTGTTCAACGAGTCATATTAATCTAACTGAATTGAATTTCAGATTTTCCCGCCTCGATGGGAACAACACCACTCACTGGGGAATGCAGGTACATCCAGATGACGAGTCACAAATAGGATGAAATGCAGCTTCATTCTGGATTCCACTTCTAGTCACCATCGACTAATTGACTTCAAGTTTCATGACCAGACATCATCGAAGCATTTGCCGAAAAAGCAGACAGACATGTCAACCGAGACCGAGAACTTCGGTCCAATCAATCGATGGGATAATCTAAAATTCAATTACATTGTAAAGCTATTTACAAGCAAATTACTAATATATGTGTAAAACTTGGGCACTGTGGTATGGAGGCTGACTGGACACTGAGGAGACTGTTAGGTGACACATAGCTTGAGTGGGACTCGAAATGCGAAACGACCATTTGAGCATCTAATGAAATCTAATTTTTCCATATTAGTTTGTTTATTAGATATATCACACAGTGAAACAGTGTTATTTACTGGATGATGTTTTGAACAAATTTATTGTTCATAATCATATCAATTGTAATCACACGACTTTGAAACTTGAGTTTTATAGTCTTCTTTCTTTTCTCCTATTTATCGTCGTAGGGGTAGTAGAATTTTCCAGATATTTGGGACAGGTGATGAATCATAATAATAATGATAACACTAATAATGGTAATAATAATAGTGATAATAATAATATTAATGACGACACCAACAATAAGGAATCTAAATCATCAACAGTAATTTCATACAAGGAAGGCACCTCGGGAACCTTACGCAGAATTCTTAACAATACAGACAGGAATAAAACTGGCTGGCATTCAAACTGCCTACAAACTCAATTAGAAACAAGCTTTGTCGGTTACAGGATCAATCCCATGAGGAGCCTTTAAAACAAAACAATTTAGCTTATCTAATACCCTGCCTACAATGATTGTCAGGTCAAATACATAAGTCAAACTAGTAGAACAGGGTCAGTCAGTCAGACTAGCTGAACATAAAAACCTAGCAGTAAAATCTAGATTAGTTGACCCGACCATACAATAGGATGGGATAGGATGACAGTTTTAAAATCTAATGTCACAGGGTATAGGGAGAGATTGATAACAGAAGCTTTGTTTATGGAATCAACTGCAAATACATGTAATAGGAATAATTCATCACCTGTCCCTGATATCTGGAAAATTCTACTACC